TACTGCATTTCTTTTCTTAGATTTAATTTTGCGACCGGATATTCAGTTGGTGGGGTGGGTAAAACAAAGCAAACGAAAAAATTCATTCCTGATGAGCTTATAGTCCACTGTGCTATCTTCGCCTGTTGATTAGTCAATTATCTCAGATAGGATGAAAGCAGATCGAATAATTTTTAATATTAGTCGAATTGGAAATATATTTATATTGATTTAGGCTACAACGACGATCGTCATGAGAAATCTCAACAGGGTAGCAAGAGCGTAACATAGAATTAGAGTAAATTACCAAAACTATCTCTGATGTGTAGCCGAATTCCCAAAAACCCAGATAAGAATAGCTAAAAAAAACATCATTGATAATGAATACACCAACCAACATTATTTATTGTTATTATAAAATTTTCCTTGTTTGGGTGTGCCGTTTCTTCTACTATTTTATTTATTTATAAACACTCTCCGGGCTTGTGCAGGTCTTAAAATTGTCACGCTCACCAGACAAGTCAAAAATCCGAGTCCCTCATGGTGGAAGGACAAATCTTCCTGTATATCTAAAAAACTCTTAATGTAATTCTCTGCTAGCCTTCTGGCTACTGATCTTTGGAAATAACGAAAGAAAAAAAAAAAGTATCGATGGTAGAATCAACATATGATTCTTTGACAATGTTCAAGTTGTCCGAGCATTTTGGACGTGTAGATAGGCTTTGTCTTGGTGCCGGTCTTTGTGTTGCATATTGCATTTGTATTTAAGGAAACAAATGTCGGTCAGCATTCTTGTACATAACAACAGCATATTGACTTTTGACCCGTTTAGTTGAGCTGGGCTCGGCTTGTTAAGAGTTCGAGATCGAGCACCTGGAGCTCGGCTTCCTGGTGTTCAAATTTATTTATTTATTTTTTTAATTATTGTTCGTGCTGGCAAAAAACCGAAAGGCATGGGTAACTGTTACACAGATTGTATAGTGTAGGCCTTATAAAATTTGTCTTTCTTTTTTGATCTTTTTCTTTTTCTCAGTTTTTTTAAGGATTAAAATGGTTTCAACTTTGCAATATAGCAGGTTTCAGTTGGGAAGAAAAATGTTGGCAAATCGATTCTATATGCAGTTTTAAATATAAATTTTACCGCTCAAAATAACATTATATAATTAAAAAAGGAAATTATTTCTTACAAAAGTCAATAATTTGTGGAATAACTTTCCTAACACGCTGAAAATGAAGATAAAATAACGACTTATACAGTTGTGTCGTATGAGATGCAGTGACGTACGGAAAATTTCACTAATACGAATATGTAACATCTATAGTAATATAAAGAGGTTGTTGGAAAAATACAAAAATAATAAGGTTGACTTTAAAAAATAATCGTTTGACTTACTACTTTAAGAAATCATTAATCCTACGAATTGATTCTGTGCACTATTGTTACGATTTACTTGAACATATCCGACTTGGTTGAGATTCCTGTACACTTTAAAAATTGGTTGAGATTTTCCTGTAATTCATTAACCGAAATCTGCTCTTAAATTGGTTTTAACATGTAAGCGTAATGGAATATAAATATATCCGAATTGGTTGGGAATCTGTTTGTTTGGGATTTCGGCGAATTCAATTTAATAATTGGTTGAGATTTTTCAATATCAACGGATTGTGTGTATCCAAAAACGTATGGATTTTCTTAAATAATTTCAACAGATTACTATAATTTTTTTTTTTGGAAAATCTGTAATTAATTTTATTAACATTTTTCAATCCTCGCGAGAATGATGGAAAATGTCCGTTTAATTGAGATTGAATCAAAATTGTCCACATCTTTTTGCAAGTAAATCGGATTTCAAAGTCATTGTATTAGTTATGCAAGTACATCCCGTAATTAATTAATTGAGATTGAATCAAAATTGTCCACATCTTTTTGCAAGTAAATCGGAAATCGCATAATTAAATAACTGAGATTGATTCAAAATTGTTTACATCTTTTTGCAAGAACAAAAAGAACAGCAACAGAGATATGGCCAAAGATGCAGAATGATAAAGATGCAGAATGATAAACAGGGGTGGAGTACAATGGAAAAAGCAGTAAGTAAGCACAGCAACAGAGATATGGCCAAAGAAAACGTAAACCCAGGTAATGAAGTGTAAAATAGATATTTTCATATCTTTCTTCTTGTTTTGTAGCCCACCACATTTCTCATTTCAGCTTTACCTTTTAATTACCTTTGCGATCCGCTTCATTTTCAGCAAGCATCATGGAGATGAACAAAGAAAACATTATGTACAACATTTAATTTAATAAATATAAGGATTTGTATAGGTCAAATAATATATTTGTGAAACTATATAAATTCCTATCGTTTTCTTTTCAAAAATCAGAATCAAATTTACCATTATCTGATGAATTATATTCGTATTGTCTGAACAAGGTTGTTTTTCAAGACGATTTTCCAAATCTATAGTTAAAACGGTTCTCATAAAAATATGGTAAAACATTATAAATAAATTAAATTTTTTCGCTGAAAATCTTAAATAATTGAAGATAAATGTGGGACTTGGTCAAATTAATAGACATAGCTGATAAAGTTAATAAAGAATTTAAGACCTTTTTCGTGTTCACAGCTTTGCGTCGATCTTCTTTAAGACCCCCAAATCCACAGTGATGATCTGAAATTTTGGTCCGACAGCATTCAAATTTTTGCATGTTTAATTGTAAAATAATGTAATAAAAAAAAATTGAGGTCAATCAACATTTGAGGAAAGGTAAACATACTGAGAATCGCATATGAGTATATTACCCAATTGAAAAAATCTCCGGTTAACCCAACTCCAGTGATGCGTCTATTAAGCGTAAGAGAGCTATCGCGATTCGGATCTTATCAAAACACATAGGAATCTACATAACAGAGTGCAAAATAATGTAAGAAAGAAAAAAAATTCAAAGTTAAGAAATGAACGCGACGGTAATTAAATTGAAACAATCCGGCGATAATCTTACCCAATCAACTCAAAACTCCGGCCATGCGGATCTTACTGAAACTCCGGCCATGGGGATATTAAAGAAGATCGATACTATGCGGTTGCGGTCTTACCCAAAGACATCGGAATCTTGATGTATCCGGCCATAACACCCAATTTATAAACTAACTAATCCTAAATCGCGAAAGAAAAAATGAAGAATCGAACATAAAATTACATGATTTTCTTGCATACTAATCGATATATGCGAAAAAAATAATTACAAACAAGATCCGAATTTACAAGATCAGAAGCATATCGATTGCTTCAAAAAATTACATCAAATAAACAAATTGAATTACTGAAATGAATATCAAATAAAAAAAAAAAAAATTGGAGAGAAGATGTATCGGGAAAGTCCAGCGGTGGAAATGAGGTGAGATCCAAACCCTCATTTCCGACTTTTTCGATCTTTATACCGCTGCTGTGAAAATCTGGCCGTCGATTTTGTATGAGTGCATCTCAACCGTCCGCAAATTATAATGTGTACTTGGATGGGCCTACCGATTTTTTGTTTGGCACATGGGCTGAACTAATGCAAAATGATCCTACATTCATATATTAGCCCACTGGACCAGATTGTGTCCCATTTAAATTATTCTTCATATAATTTTAGATTATATTTTGGCCCACAATGATTTTGTTTGAAACATTATGGTGACTAATAGCCCACACTTGACAACTAATATTTTTAGATGTCATATTTTATATACATTGTTATTGTTATTATTAGAGATTATATATGAAATAGTTTATATTTTTAACATTGTAAATTATAACTTAGCAATTGTAATCTATATTAATACTAATTATCAGTCAATTACTTTATTTCATTTACCAAGAAAAAATACAATAACATTTGGTTATATATATATATATATATATAATATATATATATATGTGTGTGTGTGTGTGTGTGGATCTATATGATTGCTTAATAATATAGATGTGTGATTATTTTTGCATTATTTTTTATTCTTATATTTTAATAACAGGTGCAAATGACCATAGTAGACCTCCATTTCATAATATTCATACAAAAGCACCACAAAATATTATTATTGATCTCACGAGTGAAGATGACATTGAAAACGATATTGTACCTACTTCAAGTACCACGACACGTGTTGTTAGCAGCTGCACTAATTATGTAAACCTACAGCCAAGTACACAAAAACGAAAACGTGGTCGTCCTAAGAAAACACCATTATCGTCAGGAGTATCTGGTCAGTTTAATTATCATTCTAATTTTGTTATATTTATTTTTTCTAATTATCGTCTCGCAATTTCTTTAAACCAGATTTTTTTTCAGGGTCAAATATGATGAATTTGAATGGCCGTCATCTGCACACCCAATCATCATACAATGTGATGAAGAATTTACGTGATTCACCACTTTCTGACATAACAAATGGTACGTTTGTTTAATATCCAATAATTTCTGATTTTAAAAAAATTATTTGTATCTTCATAATTTTAATTTACAATAGTTGACTATATGAAGTCTAAAACAAAAAGTGTAAGTAATATTGTTCTTTTCAAACAGTGTTGCAGTCCAAAATTGGAACTTCGAGCACCTCAGGTGCGTCAGTTGGTACGTGCATGAAAATCAAAATTTTTTTGTCTCTTCTATGTCAAAGTATATATATATTTTTTTGTTATGCAATATAAATAGTGTATAAAAATTATATTTCGTATATATTTTTTTGTCTTTTTTTATGTGATCAGAACAACGTAAGCGTCGTATATTATCTTCTCAGAAGCCCACGCATAATCCGCCTAATAGCATCTTTATCGATCTCACACATGATGAGGAGCATATTAGTAATGAAATAACTCATGAACCCAATACTGCAAGTTCTGTAATTGGTCTCACACTTGATAGTCCAATTCAACCAAGTACACAGAAAAGAAAACGTGGTCGTCCTAGGAAAACAAGTGGATCATCTTCAGCAGTATCTGGTAATGTTATACGAGTCTTTTTATTAGACAACCAAAAATTTGAACAAACGTATGTTTTCTAATATTTTTAATTTTTAATTACATAAACATTTACAGAATACTGGGACTTTGGAGATGCAAGTTTTCGCTGTATGTATTGCGCGATGTTTTGGTATGAGGAGAGAAAGGCTTATCATCAAAATGCAGTTGTACTTGAGTACACCATTTGTTGCACAAATGGCAAAATTGAACTCCCTCTTTTGAAAAATCCTCCCCAATTCTTGAAAGATTTGCTTCATGGAGATGGCCAATTAAACAAACATTTTCAGGATAACATAAGATCATACAATAGCATGTTCGGATTTACTTCTTTGGGTGGAAAGATAGATTCAGATATCAATAAGGGGACTGGGCCACCAGTGTTTTCTTTACATGGACAGAATTACCATCTAATCGGTAGTTTGCTTCCTTCTGAAGGTGCTTCTCCAAAGTTTGCGCAATTGTATATTTATGACACGGAGAATGAAATTTATAACCGAATGAATTCTATGAGGTATGACTTTACTTTAATTTATATGCAAAATTAAATCCTAAATCTATGCTTTAAATATGTAGTTCATTATATAGAACATTTCTATATATATCTTTTTAATATTTGATAATATTGACATATATTATTTACCTATTGATGTGCAGGAATGGATCTGGCAGTAATAATTTGCATGAGGAAATAGTTGTTGGATTAAAACCAATGTTAGACCAACACAACGAACTGGTCAAATCATTTCGTATGGCCAGAGATAGAATGCGAGAGCTTGGCGAATCAAATGTTCGAGTGCGTTTGATTGGTAGGAGATACAAAGATGCAAGACGATATAATTTGCCTACGAGTTCAGAACTTGCTATATTGGTTGTCGGCGATTTTGACCAGGCTTTGGGTGAAAGGGACATATTGGTTGAAACTAATAGTGGTCGTCTACAACGGATTAATGAACTAAATGCTTCCTATTTGGCCTTACAATATCCTCTTCTGTTACCTTATGGTGAGGATGGGTACAGAGAAGACATACTTTTTTCTGAAGGCACGCCAGTACGTGAAGATGGTCGAAAACATGTCAGTGTAAGGGAGTACTTTGCATACAGAATGCATGATAGAGATCACGAACCTTCGACTATTGTTTCTTCCAGAAGGCTATATCAACAATTTATAGTCGATGCTTATACCATGGTTGAATTTGCAAGGTTGAGATACATTCATCTCAATTAGAAAAAGCTCTGTTGTGATTTGTATAATGGTGTGGTTGAGGCCGTTCTTCGTGGCGATACCAATCCCAGTACCGTAGGAAAAAGGATTATTCTTCCTTCATCATTCACTGGTGGTGCTCGAAATATGATTGAAAACTATCAAGACGCAATGGCAATTTGTAGATGGGCTGGGTATCCTGATTTATTTATTACCTTCACTTGTAACCCCAAATGGCCGGAAATTGTTCGTTATCTCGAGCCAAAGAAATTGCGAGCTGAGGATCGACCAGATATCGTCTGTAGGGTATTTCGCACTAAACTTTTGGAATTGATTAGGGATTTCAATCAGAAGCAAATTTTTGGAAAAGTAATAGCAGGTGAGACGTTTAATATTTTATTTATAATTACTATAGTCATTTCCTAATCATTTACACAAACGATTTATTTACTATTTTTTTTTTGTATTTGAATTTGAATTTGAATTGATGATGATATATATAATTTTTCCCTTTATTCATAGTGAATTTATATTTATTTATTAGCTTTTTTCTTCTGCAGTTGTCTACACGATCGAGTTTCAAAAACGTGGATTACCGCATGCTCACATATTGTTATTCCTTTCTAAAGAGTCCAAGTTTCCCAACCCTTCAGACATAGACAGAATTATATCAGCGGAGATACCCGATGAAGCTTCTGATCCTCAATATTACGAGGCCGTAAAGGAGCATATGATCCATGGTCCGTGTGATCTGGCAAAAAAAGACTCGCTGTGTATGGTGGATGAAAAATGCACCAAACGATTTCCTAAGAAGTTTGTTGAATCCACAACAGTTGACGAAGAGGGTTATCCACGGTATAGGCGTCGTGACAATGGAACTTCTCTTGAAAAGAATGGTATTGTTGTCAACAACGGTTTTGTCGTGCCTCATAACCGGCGTCTGCTTATGAAGTTTGGAGCGCATATTAATGTTGATTGGTGCAATCAACCACGATCTATAAAGTACCTATTCAAATATGTCAACAAGGGTAACGATCGTGTGACGGCATCATTTTATCAAACTTCTGCTGATTCGGACATTGAAAGACCGTTGGATGAGATAAAAATGTATTACGATTGTCGGTACATATCGTCGTGTGAGGCGTCATGGCGGTTGTTCGGTTGGGAGTTGCAGTACAAAAAACCTCTCGTCCAGCGCTTGAACTTCCACTTATTTGGAGAACAACAATTATTATTTGACGATGATGGAAATCTTCTAAACGTTCTCCGTAAACCCACTGTTGATGAGAGCCAATATCTTGCGTGGTTCGAGGCAAACAAACAGTATCCTGCGGCGAGGCAAATAACTTATGCTGAGGCACCGTCCAAGTTTGTGTGGAATACAACGATAAGGCAGTGGACTCCTCGAAAAAATGAGGACCTACCCTCTGTAGGTCGTTTGCGGTACGTACCTCCCGGTTGTGGAGATAATTATTACTTACGATGTTTACTCCCTGTTGTGCGTGGGGTAACATGTCATGAGGACTATATGAAGGTCGGTGATGTCCAGTATCTGACATATTGTGATGCTTGCTATGAACGTGGTTTGTTAGAGGACGATCGAGAGTACGTAGATGGCATGATCGAGGCAAGTCAATGGGCATCTGCAGACTCCCTGAGACGCATGTTTGCATCTTTGTTGGTGTCCGGTTCTTTTGGTAGACCAGATGACGTATGGAATAAGTGTTGGCAATATATGTCTGATGACATCCTGTACAGACAACGTTGACTTTTCAATAACGACGGTACTAAATGTTTTCATATATCAATATCAATTTTAATAAATATTCAATTTCAAATTTATATACAAGTAGGAAGATTTAATTTCAATTGTTTTGATCTTTGTTTATGTGTCTGGTTTTATAGATTTGCAGCTTACTGAGGAACAAATTCAAAACCTAGCCCTTGCTGAGATTGAGGCTTTATTGAGACGTCGTGGTACAAGTCTTCGAGAATATTCTCCTATGCCATTTTCGGACAGGGATAGCATGCATTCAACTTCGAATCGTTTGATATTAAATGAGTTGAATTATGATCGAAAGGCCCTCACCGTTGAACATGATACGCTTTCTCAAAACATGACTGATGAACAGAAGAGTGTCTACGCCAAAATTATTTCTGCTGTTGAATCAGGCCAAGGCGGTGTGTTTTTTGTATACGGTTATGGTGGAACTGGGAAGACGTATTTGTGGAGGACCTTATCTGCTGGTTTGAGATCCAAGGGTAACATAGTCTTATGCGTCACATCTAGCGGAATAGCATCGCTTTTGCTGCCAGGTGGAAGAACGGCGCATTCACGATTTGCTATAACATTGAATCCACACCAGGAATCTACTTGCGACATCAATCAGTCGAGTCCTCTAGCGGAATTGATTATTCGTGCTTCTCTTATAATATGGGATGAGGCTCCAATGATGCACAAAACTGCTTCGAAGCTGTACAGATATCTCTGCAGGGTATTATGAGAATAATTGACCCCTCAAACAAGGACAAACTGTTTGGCGGGAAAGCTGTTGTTTTTGGTGGAGATTTCCGACAAATCCTTCCTGTCATCCAAAGGGTAGGCGTCAAGACATAGTTAATGCTACCATAAATGCTTCTGACATATGGAGAAGTTGCACTGTCCTAAGGCTTACAAAAAACATGCGTCTCCGCGGACTTTCAGATTCGAATGAACGTGATGAGCTCGCTCGATTTGCGGATTGGATAGCCAGCATTGGAGATGGAACTATAGGGGGGTCCAATGATGGTTGTGCAATGATTGACATACCCGAGGACATTTTGTTACAGCCATCTGATGACCCTATTGCTCAAATTGTTGAAAGCACATATCCAATGTTTAAGGATGCAACAGACGATCCAAGTTATTTGAAGGACAGGGCTATATTAGCGCCGACTTTGGATGTTGTCGATTCTATTAATGAGTACATGACGTCGTTGAATTTGTCGGATGGTCGTACGTACTTGAGCTCTGACAGTACGTGCAAATCAGATTCGAATAATGACTTTTTATCTGATCTCCATACGCCCGAGTTTTTGAATAGTATAAAGTGTTCTGGAATACCGAATCATGAATTGTACTTGAAGATTGGAACTCCGGTCATGCTGTTGCGGAATATGGACCATTCTATGGGTCTGTGTAATGGGACACGATTGGTAGTGACAAAGCTCTCTACTCATGTACTCGAGTGTAAGATCCTCACTGGCGATCACGCAGGTGATAAAGTGTTGATTCCAAGAATGGTTATAACTCCTTCTGATGTTAGGATTCCTTTCAAGTTTCAACGTCGTCAGTTTCCCATTATGGTCTTACGCCATGACTATAAATAAGAGCCAGGGACAATCGTTGTCTCATGTGGGCTTATTTCTTAAGAAACCGGTGTTTAGTCATGGGCAGTTGTATGTAGCTGCCTCCCGTGTCACAAATAGAATTGGTTTGAAAATTCTAATTTGTGGTGAGTACGACGTGCCAATGAATCAAACCATGAACGTTGTATATAAGGAAGTGTTCAATAATATATAGATTATTTTTCGTTATATTTATTAATGACATGATGTTTTCTTCAGTAAGTACTTTTATTTTTAACTGAAATTTGCTTTTTAAAAGGGACAGAGATAATAAACCCCGTGCATCGCACGGGTTCTGTACTAGTTTGTGTTAATTCAAAGGTATTTAAAAAGATGATGAGAAATATGGAGGACCGACTTTTTCGATTATAGTTAAAAAGAAAATTGTTGAGAGGAAATTAAAGAATCATATTTTTTTCAATAAATGACTCACTAATTCTTGAATTTTTGTGTTTATGGAAATTTGTACTCACAAATTGGCTCCTACGCTTTAAGGGGTATGCACTTTCTGAATCGAAACTTGTACTGTGGAATATGGCGCCCAAATTTTTCATTCACAAATTAATATTTACTAAAAAATAAAATAAAATAAAAAAAGAAAAAACTATGGCTACTGAAACAACGCCTCCGCCCAAACCCTCACCGGAACTCCCCTTCGCCCACGCCGGAACACCCACCGGCGCCGGTCCTCCTCCATCATCCGAAGCCATCACCCCTGCGCACACTCCTACCCCATCCACTCCCTCTCTCACTCCGGCGACCGTCGCGCCCCGCCATCCCGAGCCGGACGCTGGCGTTATCCACATACCCAGCTATTCTCGTATGTCAATTTCTCATCCAATCCTTTCTGAAAAAATTGATTTATACAACCTTTGATTGTTCGTGTTGCTTTGATTAGGGTGGTTTTCTTGGAACAGTGTCCATGAATGCGAGGCGCGGTTCCTCCCGGAGTTCTTCGACGACCGATCGCCATCGAAGAACCCTCGGGTTTACAAGTACTTTAGGAACGCTATCGTCCGGCGCTTCCGAGAAAATTCGAGCCGGAAAATCACCTTCACCGACGTGCGGAAGGCGCTGGTCGGCGATGTTGGGTCTGTCCGGAGGGTTTTCGATTTTCTGGAGACCTGGGGTTTGATAAATTACGCCGGCTCCGCTAGGCCGCAGCTGAAGTTGGAGGATAAGGAGACAAAGTCCGCCGCTCAGGGCTGTGACGCTGCCGCCGCCGGCGGCGCTGATGTTTCTGCTCCGATGAAGAGGGTCTGCAATGGCTGCCAAATTCCTTGCACAATTGCTTGCTTCGCATCTGACAAGGTGATTTTTCCTGTACGTTTCCCCTCTGTGTGTGTGTGTGTGTGTTTTCCCCCTTTTCCCTATCCCATTAGCATACTGTAGACGATAAATACCTTGAGTGATCTTGTTCCTCTGTTGCTTCTGAATTATTTTGGTTTTAGTTTTTGATTCATAGCTTTATTGGTCTCAAACAACGCTAATTCATTTTATTTTCTGTTTTAGAATCTTGAAATCTGAACTGTTTTCCGAACTTGTGAGCAGCATGATGTGACACTATGCGTGAGGTGCTACGTGAGGGGCAATTACAGGGTGGGTTTGAGTTCTACAGATTTCAAGAGGGTCGAGATTAGTGAAGAAGCCAAGATGGAGTGGACGGATAAAGAAACTTTACAGCTTCTAGAAGCCGTCATGCATTATGAGGATGACTGGAAGAAAGTTGCTGAGCATGTTGACGGGAAAACTGCAAAGGAATGCGTAGCTCGCTTCGTAAAGCTTCCATTTGGGGAAGAGTTTTACGGCCCTCCTGAATCTGCCGAGATGGATGCTGAGTTGGGTTCGCAAAATGAAGGAGTAGCTGCCAAAAGGATGTGCCTCTCACCACTTGCCGATGCAAGCAACCCTATTATGGCGCAGGTAATACATCTCATCTATTTTCTTTGTTAAAAAAAAAAAAAAAAAAAAATGTTGCTAGCTGTATATGAAGTTTAACATTTATAGAATTTCTCTCAAGTGCCTCAATTTTCTGCTATTCATGATTTAGAATTTCTCTAAAGCGCCTCTCACCACTTGATGATTTATAGAAGTTTAACATCTATTTTTTTTCTCTAAAGTGCCTCAATTTTCTGCTATTCATAATCTGCTACTCGATCTTAATTAAAAGGCCTCGTGATGTTTTGGTTGAAATGGTTTTGGATGTGTGATGGGAAGAGTTTAGTTTGTTCGTGTATCTCCAGGCTGCTTTCCTTTCTACGTTGGTTGGAGTAGATGCTGCAGAAATGGCCGCATGTGCAGCAGTAATGGCTTTGTCTAATCTTGGTGATAATATACGGCAAGGTACGAAATGCTGTTTTCCATTTTGTTTTATTGGATTGTTATTTTCCATCAGAGTTTAACGAAAAAATGAGAACCAGAGTAAAAGTATGAACTTATGAAGAAAATGAAAATATTTAGATGTTTACGTTTATGCAACTATGATCTTCCTACTGTACTTCAATTGGCTTTACCAATTCTTAAACTGATAACTTTATAACTTTTGCTTGCAATAGCTTTACAATTGCTTATGAATAAATGGTGATAATGCCAAAGATCCTTCGACTTTCTTGACTGACACGTTCTAAACAAATGTTTATTTCCTGACTGATAGCTGAGAAATCAAGTTTGGTCGAGAACCTTACCTATAGAAATTAAAACCTTGGACTTCCAAATTCTTCTAGCCGTGATCTTATGGTCATCTACTCAAACTATTATCCTAGATAGATAGTCCTTTGATTCAGCCTCACATGCATTTTTCTTCAATTTCATGTGCATCGTGTTTTCATATGTTCGCATTACTTACTTTTAGTGATACGTTATGATAGTTTATCTTTTCATTCACTAGCATTATGAAGCGACGAAAACATATAGTTCTTTTCATCCAAATATGATAAAATAAAAATAAAATAAATACGACACACTCATATTTCCCATTTCTTGAATGCAGAAGCCAAAGATACGTCTAAGTTGAATCTGATTGAAGATGCTGCTCTTGTGGAAGCAAAATCGCAGCTCGAGAAGGAAGGGGAAGAGCTGGAGAAAGCAATATCTGAAATTGCAACTCAGGTGTCATATTCTTCCGTATTTATTATTTGCTGTCGCTCGTAATTCATAATTCAAAGAGATTTATTCTGGTTTCTTCTCTTTCCCCTGTGAATTTTTAAAATACAGACGAAGGAGATTGAAAGCAAGATTCGTGAGTTTGAGGAATTTGAGTTAGAAATGGAACGCAAACGTCAGGAATTCCAGCAAATTCAAAACAGGCTCTTTGTTGATCGACTCACCTTTTCATTTCAAAAAACTGCTGCACCCAAAACTGGGGAAACCATAGGCGTGGCTATTAAGATCGATTGAAATTTCTTTCGATTTTTTTATTTTTTTATTTTTTTATTTTTATTTTTATTTTTATTTTTCCGGGTAACATCATTTTAACCTTGTGTTGTACTATACTTTGTAGTAAAACAGGACATATTATTAGCCTATTAGGAATGTTTTTGAGCTGAAAAGTGAAATCATTTGGTGTCTGATGCGCTTTTCTTCTTGGAATGCAAAATGGTGATTTGTGCGTAAAATAAGAATTTGTGTGCTTTAACACATATGAATACAAGGTCATATAATTAGTCACATACAATGAAAAGGAGAGCAAAGAAAGAATAAATAAAACTGAAATATTGATTATAATATACAGGATGATCTATGGAAAGTACTTGGCTTCTACATAGTGAACTTAAGTGAAGCCGAATGTAACAAGATTACACACGGGCATGCAACTTCTTTTTAATCACGCGAACTTAATTTGTTTGACTCGTGTTTTGGAAAAAAATATTGTAAAAACTAAATGTTGAATGAGTAAGTTAAACTATAGTTTCATTGAAATAGTAAATTAAAATTGTGAAATTTATAAGCTTTACAATAATATAAAATATAAATATCTATTGGATATTAAGTTGTTATAGACAATGGCACAATAATACAACTAAATAAAGAAAAAAATACTTAATTTGTTTATTATGTATGCTATAATAATAATAATAATAATAATAATAATAATAATAATAATAATAATAATAATAATAATAATAATAAGACAATCAATTCATAGCACCCGCCTTTCCTACTATTTTTTACATATTTTTTTCATTTTAAAATTTTAATTCCATTAAATTTTTACATATTTTTTTCATTTTAAAATTTTAATTCCATTAAATCTTAAGATACGCATGATTTTCATCGTAATGATTAAAGACAGTTTTGCTATGGAGCCATCGGATGGCTCGGCTTATGGAACCATCCACACTTATTCACCAATAGTGTATTGACACGTGTCCTGCAATAAATATACTTTGGACAGGTGTCAATACATTAAGTGGTGGATGGCTTCATAAGAAAACCATCTGATTGCTCTATAGAATTTTTGTGATTTTAAAGATATTTAATTTTTAATTCTTTCCTTTTCATTTTTCTTAGTTGAATATTTATAATTTATCTTAATTTTTTACTTTTCTTTTTGGTATTTTAAATGAGATATATTTTTTTATATATTATAAAAACTTAATAACAGACACGTAGTATCTCGAGATATTATGTAAATTATTGTCATAAAATAACATAATATATATATCATGTCATTTTATGCCAATTATTGTAAAACAAAAGGTACATATAACATTTTGTCTCACTCTGATTTAAAAAGTTATAAATAAAAATTGTGAAATAAGTTTAAACAATTACTAGTTTTAACCCGTGCATTTGCACGAAAAGCAATATAATAGAACAAAGAAATAATAAAATTATATAAACAATAGTAAAAATCATAATATAATCATTGAAAAAATGTTCTAAGAAAGAATAAGTAACTATTGTTAAACAATTCTTTATATACAACGTTTGTGGTTTTTCTATCAACAGAATCTCCATCACTACAAATCACTATCTTCAAATTAAGACTTATAATGGTTTTATTTTTTTAAATAATTATTGTATTTTGTACTATAGATCATATAGGAAATTTAAAAAAAAAATACTAAAAAAAACCAGCAAAATATTACAAAATAAATAATTGTATTTGGTTGATAAATAATGATATGTGACAAATATTTAAGACATTTGAACAAAATGACAATTTTTGGGCCATAAAGAAATATATTGATTGAATGATAAAAAAAAGCTCAAATTAGAAGTCCACTTAATTTTTTAGGGTAGCCAAAACCAAATATAAAACATGTCAATGATAACATGACTATAACATGACTATAAATAGAGATAAACTCTTTGAGAGTGATGTAAGCCATTTTTTTTGTTTGATGTCGGCGCTTCTCTCGTTATTCACTCTGTCTGAAATATTAATCCTTAACCCGGTCTTACGACAAACTCGGCGAGATTCAATACAAAACAAATATTTTATCGGAGATTTTCTCCCGGTAAAGGCTTAAATATATATGTATATATATATATATATATATATATATATATATATATATATGAGTAATGTTGTTTTTGTGGCCAACAGTAGTGATCGAAAAATAAGTATTCGTCCCGATTTCTTAATCTATGTTACTAAATCTTAACAGGTCGGTCAAAATCGGGCGATAATATTACAAATCTATGAAGAGCTGAAATATTTTTTGCTAAACGTAGTTTTTATTTTTTATTATTTTCAATGATCTGTGTCGTTTTTCGAAATTCTTTGTGAATAAGCTTCAAAATATATCATATTTTATACATAATTCGAAATTATTTAGATGGTTTTCTAAATCGTTTTTCGAAGAGAACATGACATTAGTCGAACTTTTTCAAACTTTTATGTATTTTGTTTTGGGTTTGAAAAAATAGGTAAGTTTCTAACAGATCTGTTCAGCTCTACTAACAAATATATAGATAAGTTTATAACATATCTGTTCATATCTGTTTATAACATACATATGTAACTTTTTATGTATTTTGTTCAGATTTTGAACACTAAATAGTTCAATTCTTTCTTGTCTTTCTCATCATATCAGTAACTGAAGCTTTGTTAACACTTGTTCAAAGTCGCTTTTTGAAGTTTTTAGTATTTTGTTCAAAATTTGGAAATATTAGGTAAGTTTATAACAAATCTGTCTAGATATATTTATCACATATTAGGAATTTCTTATTTAATGTTTAAAAGAATCTATAGGAACTTTTATTTTTAAAACTTTTACGCAAAAAATCAATTTTTTTTTAATTTTTTTTAATATAAAGGCAGATGACTTGGTAAAAGTTGAATGTGTTTCTTTCTATATTGTATAGTGTCCAATAATGTTCCACATAATTTGCTGTGTTTTTAATTTTGATTTTTTCATATAGATTTGACTTTTTTTGGTTGATTATTAATTATGCTTGATATTTCTATATTATGCAACAATCTGCCATTACATACAATGCCTTGTCAATCCTCATTATTTGACTTTGCCAATTTCCGTTTAATATGACTTTTCTGTTGCTGAAAGTATGGTTTTCAATGCATTAAAATATTGATGTTTTGGATATGTTTTGATGGTATAATCATGCAGAAATTTGTCCCGCCACTTTTTTCTTAAAGAGGAATTGTTTAATGAAAAGTAATCATATTTATATTTATAATTGTGAAATAATATTTTTTTTTTTTCACGGCCAACAGTTTTTTTTTAATGAAAAATATGAGACAATTTATTCAGCACACTTTTTAATTTATAAAACAGAATGTTGATTGCGATAATCAAATCTGCAGAAATCATGCATTTTATTGAATAGTATTAATATAAAATATTACTATCAAATGGAAAGTCAAAGATAGTTAATTTTGCACTATTAATTATGATCATATGGATTTTTTTTACACATATGTTTTTTCAATGAACTTTTTAAATGATAATATTGACAATATAGACTTTGCTATAATAATTATATAGACTGTGCTATAATAAATATTTATTTATTTAATTCATTAATTTTTTTAATTCATCTTATTATGCGTATAGTCTAAGTTTATAAATTGTATGTCATTTAAATGTATCTATACTACTACTTTATCAGGTTTTACCAATTGGGGGAGCTAAATTTTTAATTTTAATTATGAAACTAATCTTTCTTACCATTTTGCAGCTATATGTATGATGGAGTATGACAGGAAATTAAATTACAAAAAAAAAAAAATTATTTTTTATATTGTAATGTAACATGATATGTATTATAATGTTTGTATTTAATACATTTATTAATATATTTTATAACTGTAATTGCTTATTCAATTCATAGTGGAATAAAAAAATAATAATATATAGTGTTTACACAACAATAATGACTGCCACGTTTATATATATAAATGAGAATAAGAAACATAAATGTGGGATTAACTAAAAGAAATCTTTTTAATTTAGCCATTAATTAATTAGGTTTAACTAAAAGAAGCCTTCTTAAATGTGGATTAGTGAGTAATTAATAAAAAAAAATGTAATTCCTTTTGGAGGGAAAGTGAAAATGTTTTTATTTAATGTTTTATTAAATAAGATTAGCTAGTAATTATATATATATAGATACGAAATATTAAATATGCTTTGTTTGGTAAATGGCTTTTTGTCTAGCTTTTAGCTGTTTGAAGCCATTTTAGCTGTTTGACCATCTAAAACAGGGTCTAGATACGTAGCAAAATGGATGAATCAAAAAAGTCAAAACGACATCTAATTTAAAAAGGAGGTAGTAAAAAAATTGTTTGGTAAATCAGCTGTTAAAACGGCTTTTTGGGAGGAAAAGCTGATATTAGAAACGCTGCAATTGGCAGCGTTTGAAATTGGCTTTTAGGTGTGCAATTATTTATGTTGTATAATTATTCACTCAAATGGGATAACTAAGTTGGGATGCGTAGGANGAGACAAATGGATGGCGCAGGAGAAGGAAAATTAAGATGAAACAAATTTATTGTGCTTTCCATTATTTTAGTCATTTCTTCTTTTTGTGATAAACAAATTATAAACAATTTTGGATAAACATTGTATGCAAATTCTAACCCTAAATATTCATTGTTGTTTAATCACTATTTTCTCTACTTATTAATAATATACATAAATTGTAGTTTCTAAAATAATTATAATTGCTAAAAATATCAAAATACACAAACATAATTATAAGTAATTTTACACAAAAAAAAAATCAAAACGCTAATTTATCAAACACTTTTTGTAATAATCCGCTAATGTACAAGTTAGTCAAAACAGCTAATATAATCCGTTGGTCAAAACAGCTAATAGAATTCGTTAACAGCTAACCGCTAACAGCTGATTGCCAAACAAACTTGTAATGTTAAAAGAAAAACTAACACGGTATACTACTATATCAATTACTCTAGTGATAAAAAA